CATTTTATATTTAGTTGAGTATTATTTTACTATAAAAGTATTGGTTAGGTAATATTTTTGCGGGAATAATAATTTTCAAATAATAAACCGACATCCGTTTTTACTTTTGGACGGACCTGTTCTACCCTTTGAACAGGCTATGAAAATTTCACGCATAGATAAACTACAAAAGGAAATCAGTTGTGGTTTTACAATTACGTTATTGTTGCCGTTATGGTAATCATAATGTCGATGAGTGTACTTCATGGTAGTCCGGAACAATACTACGCTACACTTGAGGACAAATAAAACGTACTCGACTGATAATAGGTTTATCTCTAGATGTTATTTTTAAGCAGCACTATTTTAATAACATATTTCATAGATTTAGATATCAGTATAATATCATTTTATGTAAGAACTGTCTAGTTCTTTTTATTAGATAATATTCAACCTAAAGAGTAATAGAGGTAGATGGTATTTAAGGATTGCGTATTGATTTTCTGTAGAAAGGAAGTAGATAAAGCAAAAGTTTAAATATGTATTGAAATTAAATAAATCCAGTAGTTACATTTTGGATTTTTAACAGCTAAATGATTTATCGTTAAATAACCAACGGGTTTGACTCTATCTCTTCAACTTATTATTCAACTATCTTTCGCCTCCGTCTGCGTGGAATTAAAAAACACAAAAGTAGCCTATATATTCTTCTACATACTCTACACGTATGATACTTATTGAGATCCGTCTAATTTAGGTTTCAAACTCTAACAAACATCGATCCTTCCATCTAAACTTTCGTATTTATAATGTTAGCATGAAATTTGTTAGACAACTAGTCGCATTACTGTATTCGATAGTACGAATATTTAATAGTATTCATTGAATAAATATAGAAGTTCCACGCCATCACCAGTAGAACTCATCATCATCATTGTCAGCCATAGGTCGTCCACTGCTGAACGTAGGCCTCCCCCATTGTTTGCCACAATGCCCGGTCCAGTGCCGTCAGGAGAACTGTCATGATTAAATGTATGGAAAGACGACATATCTATTACTAACAGATCTCGTCTCCACTTGCCTCGTGATTTCAGTACATTTACGATATAAACGAATAACATAATAATTTGGAAAGAACAAGTTCGTGTACAAAACGGACGTAGATTGATAAAAAAAAACATCAAACAAACCGGCCCGGGTGAGCGGTGTCCATAAAGATTCGTATAGAAACCGTGCCTAATCCAGTATTTTTTTTTTAATATTTTCGATCGTAAACTCAGCGCACGCGATAACCTGATTATTCACGAAGTTTTATTGTCTTTACTAATTAATACTAGAGAAGTGAGTTTTTCTAAAAACTTGTAGCATGCAATTCATTTGTCTGTTTTGTCACGCCAAGCCAAGACGTTGGCAGACGTTGTCTTAGAGTTAATTTATTATTTTTCATATTTAAACAGAGATTTAGAGAAATGTGTAACATAGTCTTGGGCTTAATCGGACATCTACAAGTGCGCACCGTACTAGTACACTTTTAGTACCTTTAGTACTTCAGATTTGTGAGAACAATAACATGAATACAATATAACGAGGTTTATATATTACTTCACATCAAATTTTAAGTAGGGTCAAACATATGTTATTAGCGAAAATAAATTTAAGTTAAAAAAAATTTTATCCACTTTTGATTCTTATTATCTAAAGGTGGATGCTTCAATCTAGCAAATATTCAATCAAATCAAACAACGAAGAGGCGAACACCGATATCGTGTAGTACTGTACTAAAAGTGCCAAATGTCTGATTAACAGAAGCCGTTTGGTAACGTTACTTTTAGTACAGTGCCGAGTAACTTTTTAGTACATCGTACGTGTACTACCAAAGACTAATGTAACACAACTGATATAAACAAGAGATGGGACTATAAATCAGCCCTCTAAGACAAAGTGTCCTTTGATTATCGCTATACTGATCGAAATGAATGGAACTGACAATAACATTCGATAAGTCACGTGCTTTTCACGTATTTTGACACATTTTGTTTTACAAGCCATACCGCTAATCGAAAGTCACTTTGTCTAAAGAGGCTGAACTCAGTGAAATAAAGCAAAGATGGACGAATCTTATTTTAACGTAATCGTAACCTATAATATTCCAGTATTCATCAGGTACCTTTTAGTCAAAATCACGTAAAAATCGGTCCAGCCGTTTAGTACCTATAACTTTGTACTTGCAGACAGATAGACTGAAATACGGACTGAGATAGGAATTAATTCTACAGAAAATTGTTCTTTCGCTTCTTTGGTAGTTAATTCCAAGTCTAGATGCTTTTTGATCTATGATTTTATAGAAATTATCAGTGGCCGTATTAACGTATATATACATATATATCAATATAATATCGTTAAGCGATTTCTATCGAGTGTACGGAACTACAAATGTGTGCATAATCATTTTCATTAAGACCATCAAAAACTTAGACATGGGACTTGGAAAACAATAGTAAACTTTGTATTCAATCCACAAGTCCAGTGAACCATTGACTCGAGCTGTCTCTAATGAATACTTAATAGTATTTTATGGGCTCACAATTATTTATAGAGTTTTTCATGCGTTCTCATGGGGCCCTTCCGTTTCGCATCAACGACTCCAAAGCTTTCTATACTTTCCATGACCTAAGCAGTTAACAATAATAATACTAACTTTCGCCCGCGACTACATTCGCGTGGAATTAAAAAAACAAAAGTAAGTAGCCTATTTCTTCTTCAAGACTATCCTATAAATTAATATTAAATTTAATTGAGTTTTGTTATGCAGTTTACGCTTTAAACGCTAAAAAACATCCATCCATCCAAACTTTCGCTTTTTTCTATACTAATATAATAAAGCGTAAACACACACTACTTTGTGACGTAAGATGTCTGCAATCACAGCATATTTTTGAATAATTCTCTCTTTAATAAAAAGCCCTACATTTACGACACGCTTTAGGCTATATTTTTTTACGCTATTGAATTTGGGGATAATTAAATTGGAAAAAAATCCTCATGTGGGAAAGAGACCATAAACTATAAGCTGTCAACATTAAGGAATAAAGGTTGACATGGTTTGTCATCATGTCATATCATATTGACATTTGCAACTGATAATTTAACAAATGCAGCCGCACGGGAACAGCTAGTAATATTAGTAAGATTGTTTTGTTTTTGTAGTATTTAAAACTGTCTTCTTGCTAACCTTTAAAATAAAGTTAATCATGTTATTTTTATTTTTGGACGAAAACGAGCAAAATCGATTGAACAATATGCCTCATTCACACTTAAAGGGTACAGTTCAATTGGCATAATACATATCTGGTACCAGCGTGTCCATACTGTCCATGCTAGGCCTACTGTCCAACTGTTCTGGCCAAGTGTTAGCATTTCTAGAAAGAAGTAGTGCCAGTTCTCAGAAAAAACAAAAGCCAAGCTTGGTTGAGCAAAATTGTTCTTTACCGATGTTTTAGACTGCTCCTTTATGTTGCTGTAAATATTATAAAAATTATAAAATCGATTCTACAAAAACATCGATTAATTTATAACGTGCAATTATTAAATACTAATGAATTAAGTTAACAATAATAATTTTCAATAAAAATTTACACCAATTAGTTGACTCCTAAACATTATTATTACTGGCAACAATCATCGGGTACGTAAACAAACAAAAAAAAAAACAAAACGATTTGACCCGACCTTTTGTAGGCGCCGTCGAGAGATGTGAGACCAGAAAGGACTCGATGATGAAAGGAGACGGTTAATTGAACAAACTGTAGGAGTGAAAGGGTTAACAGATGTTGTAATTAACACAAAGATCTTGCCGAAAAAGGTTTTTTTATTTATTTATATTCGTTTCAATTCTTCGGGGTCATTTGTTTTAATGTTCCGACTTTTCTCGGGTTAGTCGAGTAAAGAATTGGTCCTTTGAATGGGATTATGTTGGAGGCGATACCCAATTAGTTTTTTTAATAAAAGAAATGTGTAAACGATTATAAAAACATCCTGTATATTAAGATTATCGTATGCTAGTAATAGTCAACGAGCTTTAAGGCAAGTCAAAGTTCTTAAATTCCATTTAGAAGTTTATGAAGTTTTTAGATAAACTTTATATTTTCTTTATTTTGATGTTTAATTCATACTTTGAGTGATTTATTTAGAGTTTTCTTTGTTTATTGATAACTATAAAAATACAGCTTTGATTATTATCCCGTAAATATGACAAATACTAAGTTCCGTTTAATTTTTTAGATAGCAAAGCCTTAGATATTAAGAATTGAGAGGAAGAATTTGCATGGAAGCATTTTTCTTAAGAATGTGTTATCTTCTTTCAAAGTTCGGCGATCATTAGGGCAACTTCAAACATGCAAACATTACTCTTACTAAAAAATTGAATCTAAAATTCAAACCGTGTAATAATAAAAAGTTTGTAAAAAGCTCCAAATTCTAGCTATAAAGCTTTGTTGGCCACACGAGCCGCGCCGCCCGTGCGCCTCATCGACCGGTTAAGGCCACTTCATTGGATCAATTGACCGTGTCGGCGGCTAAATTGTTTTCCAGAAAACTTACAATATACCGAACGAACTCTCGTGACCCCGTGGGAGTGGGCGGCCGCCTTTCGAAATGTCTAAATTTTTTTATACCTACAACTGTTACGCATCATCGGTCGCTATCAAGGTATGCTGAGTACGGATGTCAGTGTTCGCGTATTATTGTTGGAAAGAAAATAAATACGCAAACTCCTTTATTTAATTTAATATACAACAACTAAGAATCTAGAAGACCACAGCTTTGCCTGGGTATCAAAGAACGTCTCATACCATTCCTATTGATGTAAAATATACCATTAGTGATAATGTACTTACTTACTTTTGTTATAATGGCGAAAGAAGTTAGTAAATCAGCTTAGTAATCAAATCTCTCCTATTTATTACATGTATCTTAAAAATTTAATTAAGCAACTAATATATTCAAGTCTTTTTTTATTGCAGGCTCGGCCGGCGGCTGACTACAAAAGGAGCAGTAGAAATCCCTCAAAATTACCCGAATTCAATCCCCAAACAACAAACCCGGCAACCTGAGTTTCACAGATCCCTTTGGGCCTCCCCAGTCATCGGACGGGGGGGGCCCGTCGACCCCGCAGCCCGCGATGACCACCCAGGAGGCACTGGAGCATCAGCACCACCACCTGGGAGGCTCGCAAACTCCCCACGATATCTCAAACTCGGCTAACTCGACGCCAACAAACGTATCCTCAAAATCCGCCTTCATAGAGTTACAACAACACGGCTATGGACCGTTTAAAGGTGGATATCAACATCCCCATCATTTTGGAAGCCCTGGGGGTCAACAGAACCCTCATGAGGCATCCGGCTTCCCCAGTCCTAGGTCCTTAGGCTATCCTTTCCCACCTATGCACCAAAACACTTATGGTTATCATATAGGGTCCTACGCTCCGCAATGTGCCAGTCCGCCTAAAGATGGTGAGTATTTTATAACTTAGATACTTTATCCATTATTATTAATAGTTCCTAAACATTAGTAATAATAAAATATAGCCTATGTTACTCACAGATAAATGACCTTTCTGATAGTGAAAGAATTTTTAAAATCGGTCCAGTGGTTTTTGAGTTATTTCAATACATACAAAAATACAAAGTTTTCCTCTTTATAATATTAGTAAAGAAGTAAAGATTAATGTGTGAGCTCCTTGTGAAGTCTATCTCCCTCTTCTCTTTTGAAAAAATAGAGACAGCAATGTTTTCCTGGAAAGGTGTTACAAGCAATGAAAACTTACGGCAAAGGTATTCATTATTCACACATTTTGTGTGTCATTTTATCGACTGTTACATTCTTATGAAATTGTGTAAGTTTTTTCTTTTTACTTTCCCCGTTGTCTACCCTATTATTATGTCATGATATAAATTACTTTGATTTTGGAGGTGTGAAAATAGGATTTTTATTAGGGACTGTTTCATACTTTTAAGATATTTTTTTTACTTAACAGTTCGAAGTATCTACTAAGCGAAGACCTAATAATTTCAAAATAAACTACCTAATTCACAAAGACTAATAATAATTATTTGCTAAGATTGCACACACCTATGACTAAACTATCGCACAGTTTAGTCTCGCTTTGATTCCTATGAGATCATATCGAGGCACACACTACTCGATTTTTAGTTTTGCAACTAAACAGTTGAGGGCTGCGAAACAATCGACAATCGCAAAACAGTTGTGCGATAATTTAGATATGAGCCGCTCTTAACAAAATCAAAATTAACTAGCTAAAATAGGAATACTTTTGACAATTTAATTATTAACTTATAGTGTTTATTACAACCAACATGTTCGGAGTTGTATGGTGTAACGTCACAATACTGTCAATGCAGTATCGTTGGAAACGCGTCATATGTAGTTAAATGTTTGATGAAGCCCTCGCTTGTATTACCCTGTGTGAATTCTTTAACACGCTACGTAATGACGGTTAAAATTTTATCAATAAAATATTGGTTACAAATATTACTTTGCAAAAGTTAACTAAATATAGAAATGTCTATTTAGAAAATAGGAAAGAAATGTTTGAAAATAATTATAGAGCGGACATTTTACTGAAAAATTCTAATATGTTATAATAAACAGTAAATATAATAATAATAAACAGTACGAGGAAGTGAACGTGTTTGTTAGATTGGTACCTTTTTTTCTTAGTTCCTACTGGTAACTTAGTGTGAGCGTTGGTAGTGTCCTGTCTAATAATACATAGTATGTTGGTAATCTTACTAATATTATAAATACGAAAGTTTAGGTGGATAGAATGTTTGTTAGAGTTTCTAGCGTAATCGGCTGAGCGTATCTCGATGAAATTTAGTATAACCTGGAAGAACACATAATCTACTCGGTTTTGTTTTTTTAAATTCCACGCGTACGGAATCACAGGCGACAGCTAATTTTAAATATTAATTTAGTTTTGTAACATTGGAATAACAGACTTTAGTAAGTAACAGTAATTGACAGACACAGGTACCTTAAATGTATCAGACATTTATTTGTATACATTTGTGTTCAAGTCTGACGGTTTGCTCGTTTTTGAGTAATTAAAGCAAATTTCATTAACAGTTCTCTACGAAGATTTAAATTGAAGATATCAATTCGGGTCGGTCAAAATTAATTTTAATTACAAACTCCGCGTCGTAATTTTCAATTTATCGGACGTGTCACTTTAATTCGAGATAAGAATTAACTGAATTACACACAAACTGTGTCAAAGTTTTACACATTTCTGAAATTGATGTCGTGTGGCCGAATCGCGGACAGCCGTAAGAAAAATAAAATAAAACATTTCGACACGCGAGCACTAAGTAAAAACGCAGCATTTTTTATGCTGACCGTTAATATCGTGTAGAGGAAATTAAACCGTAAATTTATGCCTTCCGACATACGTTTCCTGCTCAACGTTGAGAACGGCAAGGTCGCTTTTCCAATGCACACTGAATCATAGTTTCCCAAATGTATCGTGATTTCTCCTAGTTTTCCCGTTCAACGAAGGCCGTTGGTTTTAGTGTTTTTTACTTGTTATTTTATGTAACATCGGTAGGAAACTGTTTTTAAGTTCTTTTACATTTTAGGATTAGCTCTGCGTATATTTTTATTGCTAGATTAGCGTGACATGAAATAATTTCAGTAATTCAATGTTTTAAGTGTGTTCTCTTATGTTTTTTTTTTCAATACCAATTGGTAGAGACATGTGCAGACGTTGCGAAACAATTCCTATATAAATTATTGCCCCGGCGGCTGTTCGCTTGTTTTATAACTTCATTGACTTTCGTAGGTCGCATGATGTTAGCACGCGAAGTTTTTAGGTTATGTTTATCAGCCTTGTATTTTGACGTGTAACAAATATCGTTGTATACATTTTATTGAAGAATGTCAGCTGATATAATTTATTTTTATAGTTTTACAGCCTTACAAATACACGCGGTATAATGTTAGGAATAAACTGAGTATAAGCAAAATTTGTACTAATATTTTGTAACGCTGTTATAGTCTTGTTAAACCATAAACAATATTATTTTTATAACCAACTTTTTTTAAAGTAACCTTATATTGCAGGAAATTATGGACCCTATTGTCCGACAGATCACGTGTTTTTGGTCACTCTAAACTTAATTTTATCTATACTAAATGGGGTCATAAATTCACAAGACAAAAGTGTTAGGGGCGCTCGTGTTAACTAGATTACTAAATAAAACAATTAATTCAAAACGGTTCATTAGTAATACATAACCTTCGATTTGTAATACATATTTTTTTCTTTGTTTACACGGTAACTAATTCATATTGATTTTTTTCTAAATGTCATTTCAAACACACGTGTGAATTTTAAAAAAAAATCCTATACAATATGTAAATGTACATAAAATATTCAGTTTTTAAATTTAGAAATAAACTATTATGGCAAATAGTAAAAACAATATTATGTAAATTTAAAAAAAAGACTGTAATATTTGTACATGCAACTGCATCTTTGTATAAATTTAAAACATGAGTATATTAATCCAAATTATATCCACAGATCAGCATTTGTGCTAAGTGGCAAACGTTTAATACATTAAAATAAATAATAAATAGATAAATAAATAAATGAATAAAACATCTGTTGCGATATCTGTTATTAAATCAAATCGAAACACTCAAATAATTATTCACTAAAACATTATGTGTGAAACATACAAAAATGAAAGCATATTTACCACACAAGTTCAGCACAAACATCCTAATTGACCGACAGTTAAGGTAATTAAATAAACGTAAAATTATATTAGTGTAAGCACGAAACGCTACAGATTAACATGTGGCTATTTTTTAATAATTAACAAGTCTTATCCATACATAACAATACATTTCATGCATTATAAATTATTGTGAAACAAAACAAAACAAGACAACAAATAGGATTTGGACGATCATAGAAGATTTGGTAAAGAAAGGATTATTTTTATCTTCTGACGAATTACACATGAAGCCCTGGTAATGTCATCCCTGGCTCCAACGCCTCTTGATTCAAAGTCGTGATTTATGAAAGCCTAGTACTTTACAGACATGGTGATAGGTCGCGACACTCCAGAGTAAGAAAGAGATGCACAAAGATTGAGAGAGAGACAGAGATAGAGAGTAGGTACAACATAAGATTCATGTTCTCCAAATAAACAAACGTTAACTTCCAAGGATAATAAATTGTAACAGACTTTATACATAGTTTTAAAATCAAACAGAGATTTCTCGTGTTCTCTGAATCTTTGAAAGATGGTTCTTAATGGCTGGTGATGTTTGCGTGACTTGCTTGCAACACAACATCAAGGCAAGTCAGTAAAAGTTAGCCTAACGATATTACGTAACGCATTCTTTGGGTTGTTAAATTTGTGAAGGATGACCACTTCGAGTGATTTGAAATTACTGATTACTTTGTACCTAATAAAATTAATAAATATATATTTCGTAACAAGGATAGTATCAACTAAAGACGTTGCATAAATCAAGTGATTGTCAATTACCATCTTAACCATTCTAATTAACAATTTTCCCGCCATTTTATACTTTAGACAAACATCCTTATTGATATTTCTATATTAATTTAAATTTATAACTCATCTTTATAGCTTTCGCCCGCGACTCCGTTCGCATGGAACTGAAAAAGTGAGCCTATGTGTTCTTCCAGACTATATTTTACAACTGTACCAAATTTCATCGAAATCCGTTCAGCCTTTTAGGCTACAAACTCTAGCAAACATCCATCTAAACTTTCCGCATTTGTAACATTACGAGTCAATAATATTTTATTAACTGATTACTTCGTATCAACGCTAACTGATACCTGGTTGTTTTAAATCAACAAAAACAACAACTTTCTTTAACATCATGGTCAATAAATCATAGGAAATCGACTAGCGAGACGTATTCCACTCGTTGAACTATTATTTGCATACTAATATATCCGTAGACTGAAGAAATCTTGTAGCTATAGAAAGCTATTGGACAACTGTTCCCGAACGCCGGAGGTCGAAAGAAATGTCTAATAACACGTTCTTTCATTTTAATTATTGCCTCACGTTGAAATTTTAACGTTTTTCGTAGAAAAACTCTCGCCCCGAGCGGACGGCACGCGTGCGGTACAGTCGGCTTCACAAGTACTTTGAATATCTAATTATAAACGTCTATTTTTTTTATTGGTAATTATGTGTCACCATACTATTGATTAGTCCAACTAATACTTGGTGTAAACCAATGAATGTACAATTAATCTATTATAGTAAAAATAAATTAACAAAACTATCTTTTACTAAAATATTCTTGACACTATTCTACAACAATGTAAGGTTTTTTCGGTCAAAACTTACAACTATTTCGTCAGTGTAAATACATGTAACAACTCTTTCAATTATTTCAACTCGAAATAATACATTTTAAAAGTTTATTAACAGATTTAGTGACACCACAATATTTCAAACGTTGTTATACTGTTGAACGTTACAAATCACTTTTTTATGTGACATTACGTTCTCTTCAAAATAAGAATTAAGATTGGGATCAGATTAGAGTCAAAAGGGTTCCTAAGGCGAAGAATACGACACACCCCCAAAGGTCTACGAGGCCATCACTGGTTCCAAAATAGACGTATTTTCAAGTACAGTTAGCAACAAAATACTGTTAGAATTATTCATGAAAATATAGCAAGGTGACTGATATAGTAAAAAAATTGTAGTTATTGTCTAGCTGTTTTGAAAGGGAATAATCAAGAAATCGTTTAATATGGAAAACTGTTATTGTAGCCTTCTATTTTCACCTAAGAATCTGTTTAGACAATCTCTACATACATACGAGTTCATAACTGAGGTCCCCTTTGTAATGTCATCAAATATTTAACGACGAGTACGGCAGTACAGATAACGTAAAAATGGTAATCGTTGATACGTCAACAGATCTGCATACTCATTCACAGTTTTAAAAGAAAATAAGATAGTTAGAAGCGTAGAAAGTAATTATAAAATTTAAAATTCGAATACCCTGAGACGCGAGCATCGGGAGTTTGCTTTTTATTTTTTCCTTCACTACAAAACGCTCGTTCGTCAGATTCACCTCATCGGGATAAGTAGACGAGAGATTTTTGTTTAAACGATTTATAATTACGGTATATTTTATAGTTTATTTACATACTAACGGACAAAGACGTCAAATGAAATATAAATAATTACAGTATAAGTTATTTATTTTGTACCCTAATTTGTTTGTTCATTGTTTTTAAACGTTGTATTAGTACTGGCCGGTTTCCCAGCTACGTTTAACCATTCGTTAATGTTTATGGTTCGATAACTTCATGAAATGCGTTTCTGAACTTCTTAACTTGAGTTTTTCTCCGTTAAAACTTAAGTCAACTTACCCTAAATCACAAGGTGAGGATAAAATAAATGGTAACTTTAAAACCCAACAAATACTAGTAACTAGCTCTTATCTGTCCTACCGAAAGTTAGGGGTGAGCATTTAGTCAACCACGCTGGCCCAGAGAGTGTTGTCTAAATGCATATCATAAATCGATAAATTTTATAAGTGCATATATTTGCAAATCAATAAAGTCATCAATACTAATATAATAAAGAGGAATGATTTATATTTTGTATATATTGAAATAATCTAAAAAGTTACCTTGCTGGTTTTAAAAAGTATTTCACCGTCAGAAAGGTAATTTATCTGCAAGTAATATAGGCTATAAAAATTTTTGTTAATTCTACATGGACGAAGTCGCGAGCAACGGCTAGTCGAATACAAAATCGCGATGAACCGTCCGTCTGGTCGTCCACACCTCGTCGGCGTAACAGAAAGTGTTTTTTATGTCGATGGATAAATGTTTTTGAAGAAGGGTTTTTTTATTATTTTTTATTTGTCTCGTTTTGTGCTCGGTTTTTCGGTAGGCGGACTCTGGGCGGAGCGGCCGAGCAGCCTTCAGAGATGCGCTTACAATGTA